AAAGGAGATTTGGGATGCCCTCATCAAATTATATGAGGTGAAGTCTTTTCACACAAGGATATTCTTGAAGCGAAAACTCTACACTCTTCGGATGAGTGAGTCCACATCGATGACGGACCACATCAATCATTTGAACACCTTATTTGCCCAACTATCAGCAGCAGATTTCAACATAGTTAAAAATGAGCGTGCGAAACTTCTACTTCAGAGCCTACCAGACTCATACGATAAACTCATCATCAACATAACAAATACTAATATGGAAGGAAATCTACGCTTTGAGGATGTTGTTGGAGCTACTCTAGAAGAAGAATCCAAACGCAAGAATAAGGTAGATAGATTGGAAAATTCCAAGCAAGCAGAGGCTTTGACAATGATGAGAGGAAGATCAACAGAGCGTAGCTCCAGTGGGAGTCAAAATTATGGTAGATCAAAATCTCGAGGAAGGAAGAATTTCAAATGTTACTATTGTGGCATGAGAGGACACTTGAAGAAAGATTGTTGGAAGAAGAAAAATGCAGAGAAGTCTTCTGAGGCAACTATATCTCAAGGATGTGTTGCCAGTACCTCTGATGATGGAGAAATCCTGTATAGCGAAGCAACTATTGGTTCCAAAGGTGAAAAACAGCTCACTTATGTTTGGATAATAGATTCGGGAGCAACATGGCACATGACTTCACGAAGAGATTGGTTTTGCACTTATAAACCTATCTCAGAGGGATCTGTGTTCATGGGTAATGATCACGCCTTGGAAATTGTTGGAATCGGTACTGTCAAATTGAAGATGTACAATGGTACAATTCGCACAATTCAAGGGGTACGACATGTGAAGGGCTTGAGAAAGAATTTATTGTCTATTGGACAATTGGATGACCTCGGTTACAAGACCCATATTGAAGGTGGGATCTTGAAAGTAGTAAAAGGTGCTCTAGTAGTGATGAAAGCAGAGAAGTTTGCTGCAAACTTATACATGCTTCTAGGAGATACGTTGCAAGAGACAGATGTATCAGTTGCATCGGCTAGTCAAGAGGAATCAACAACAATGTGGCATCGTAGACTATGTCATATGTCAGAACGAGGCTTGAAGGTCCTTGCGGAACGTAAACTCTTACCTGGGCTCACATCGGTAAGCTTACCTTTCTATGAGCACTATGTGACAAGCAAACAACATAGATTGAAATTTGAAAAGTCAACTACTAGAAGCAAACACATACTTGACTTGATACATTCTGATGTGTGGGAGTCACCGGAAATGTCCCTAGGAGGAGCTAAATATTTTGTATCATTTATTGTTGATTACTCTAGGAGATTGTGGGTGTACCCAATCAAGAAAAAGTCAGATGTGTTTCCAGTTTTCAAGGAATTCAAAGCACAAGTGGAGCTTGAAACTGGGAAGAAGATCAAGTGCTTAAGGACAGACAATGGAGGAGAATATACAGATGGTGAGTTTCTGGCATTCTGCAAGCAGGAAGGTATAAGGAGGCAATTCACGGTTGCTCATACACCTCAGCAAAATGGTGTAGCAGAGCGGATGAATAGAACTCTCCTAGAGAGGACTAGATCTATCTTGCAAACAACAAGATTAGCCAAGTCTTTTTGGGCAGAAGCAGTGAAGATAACTTGTTACGTTATAAATCGATCCCCATCAACTATGATTGGTTTAAAGACACCTATGGAGATGTGGAAAGGAAAGCCAGTAGAGTACTCTTCTCTACATGTGTTTGGATGTCATGTGTACGTAATGTACAACTCCCAAGAAAGAACAAAGTTGGATCCAAAATCCAGAAAATGCATATTCTTGGGCTATGCTGACGGAGTTAAGGGGTATCGCCTGTGGGATCCCACTGCCCGCAAGGTTATTGTCAGCAAAGATGTAATCTTTGCAGAGAATGAACTGCAAAATAAACAGGTAAATGATAACACTTCTAAAGATGTTACTACTGTACAAATAGATGGAAAGTCTGGAGAAGAAGATTCTTTAGAAGCAGAACCAGAGCATGAGGAACAAGAACCAGAAGAGGCCAATGATACAGAAGTTCGACGAATAACACGTCAGATAAGGAGACCATCTTGGCACTCAGACTATGTAATGGCAAGTCATGATGCATATTGTCTTCTAACAGAAGAGGGAGAACCGCCAACCTTTCAGGAGGTTGTGAGTAGTTCAGATGCTTCTCTGTGGATGGCAGCAATGCAAGAAGAAATAGAAGCCTTACACAAAAACAAGACATGGGAGCTTGTTGCACTTCCACAAGGTCGAAAAGCCATCGACAACAAATGGGTTTATAAGATCAAACGTGATTGCAATGATCAAGTGGAACGATATCGTGCAAGACTGGTAGCAAAAGGGTATGCTCAAAAGGAAGGCATTGATTTCAATGAGATATTCTCTCCGGTGGTTAGACTTACCACTATCAGAGTAGTGTTCGCTATGTGTGCTGCATTTGACTTACATCTTGAACAATTGGATGTAAAGATTGCTTTTCTTCATAGAGAACTTGAAGAAGAAATTTATATGCTCCAACTAGAAGGCTTTGAAGAACAAGGAAAAGAAAATTTGGTTTGTAGGTTGACCAAATCTTTGTACGGTTTAAAGCAGGCGCCAAGGTGTTGGTACAAGAGATTTGATTCCTTCATTATTAGCCTCAGATACAACAGGCTGAGTTCAGACCATTGTACGTATTACAAGAGGTTTGATGATAATGATTTCATCATTTTGCTGTTGTATGTGGATGACATGTTGGTGGTAGGTCCCAACAAAGATCGAGTCCAAGAATTGAAGGCACAGTTGGCTAGGGAATTTGATATGAAGGACTTGGGACTCGTAAATAAAATTTTAGGGATGAAAATTCACCGAGACAAAAATGATAGGAAGATTTGGCTCTCTCAGAAGAATTATCTTAAGAAAGTCTTGCGGCGCTTCAACATGCAAGATTATAAGTCAATCTCTACCCCATTGCCTATCAATTATAAATTATCCTCTGATATGTGTCCTAGCAGTGAATCAGAGAGGATGGAAATGTCTCGAGTGTCGTATGCATCGACAGTGGGAAGTCTTATGTATGTTATGATTTGTACGAGACCAGATATTGCACAAGCAGTTGGGACGGTTAATCGATTTATGGCAAATCCTGGTAGAGAGCACTAGAATGCTATGAAAAGGATCCTAAGATACATTAAAGGAACCTCAAATGCTGCATTATGTTTTGAAGGATCAGAGTTTATTGTCAGAGGATATGTTGATTCAGATTTTGCAGGTGATCTTGATAAAAGAAAATCTACTACAGGATATGTGTTTACACTTGCAAGTGGAGCGGTAAGTTGGTTATCTAAACTACAGATTGTTGTAGCCTTATCTACTACAGAGGCGGAGTACATGGCAGCTACCCAGGCATGCAAGGAAGCAATTTGGATTCAAAGGTTATTGGGAGAACTCGGACACAAGCAATAGAAGATCAATGTGTATTGTGATAATCAGAGTGTCTTGCACATTGCAAGGAATCCAACTTTTCATTCCAGAACAAAACACATAGGAGTACAATATCATTTTGTCAGAAAAGTAGTAGAGGAAGGGAGTGTGGATATGCAGAAGATTCATACCAAAGATAACCTAGCAGATACTATGACAAAATCAGTAAATGCTGACAAGTTTATACAAAGTCGATCCTGTTATGGCCTATTGAAAGCATAAGCAGCATAGATGGAAAAGATAATCATGGTGTGAAGATTTGATTAATTTTATCAAAATCTTCAAGTGGGAGATTGTGAGAACAAAGTCCCACATCGGTGGGTACTTCAAAGGGGGCATGGGTGAGTGGTTATATAAGAAACCACATACCCCCCATTCCATCCATCCCAAATTTTCTTTCTTTCTTTAGAATTAAAAGAGTTGTCATTCTTAGTACTAGAGAAGGGATATGTAATTTTTCTTCCTATTATAAAATTTCTACTTTTGTCTATTATTATTATTCAATTTTTCTTTTTTCTATTTTAGTTGAGTTCTTGTGCAAGTAGTCTGATACCTAACATTACCCTCTCTTTCTCATCTTTCATCGTTGTTCTCCTCCACGTAGAAACTACCATGTAAGATCCAAGACATAGTTTTTAGGACATTCACATAATCAAAGAAGTATATAGATAAATAGAGAATTTTGAAAAAAATAATTCAAATTTATATTACGTAGAAATGAAATTTCAAGAATGAGTTATAGAAGATAAAAAACCTTTCTATCATGTTTTTATTTTTATACAATTGTTATATAATCGTGAGACTCTCACTCACTACTATTATTAGACCAATCTATATCTATTTATATTATTATTTACTCTCTCTTTTTTTAGCATTAAAGTTCCGAACACATGTAAAAGGAAGGAAAGGATGCATGTGAAAACAAAAAAAGACATGATTAAATGGATATATGATTAAAAAAATCATTAATATAAATAAAAGTTAAGTTAAAAATAAGTCACGTAAGTAATTTAAAAAATAATTTTATACTATTTTAAAAAAATTAAGATATTATCTTTTTACACATTTATTTTCGTTTATAATAACAAATTTTATGTAATTATGTAAATAAGTCTTATGAAATAAGTTTGATTAATAGATAAAACAAAATCTTTTGCCAAAGACACTTACTATTTTTAAAAGCTAAAAGAATAAAACTTTTATAAGAAAATAAAAAGTTATTATTTTTTTCCAGATGAAAAGTATAATTAGCTTTTAAGAAATAAAAAATATATTTTATCCTTCATTTAATACTAATAATAATAAAAAATAAAAAAAGAAGAAGAAGACTCAAGTATTCAAAACCCACGACGGAAGTGTCAGGGTTGAACTGAACCCATTTGAATCACCCTCCCAAGAAAAGAAGAATAAAGTCCAGAAGACTATATCTATCTATGTATGTATCGATTCATTTAGCTCACTCTAATATAACACATCCCCTCTTTCTATTCCAACATTATTCATAGACAGAAAGATCTTTCCGCCGTTGGTGATGTCCACATCCTCCAACGTGGTGGTTCTAGACAACGGCGGCGGGTTAATCAAGGCGGGCCTCGGCGGCGAACGCGACCCCTCCGCTGTGGTCCCCAACTGTCTCTACCGCCCCCCGGCCTCCAAGAAATGGCTCCACCTGACCTCCCGCGACGAGGACCTGACGTCTGCCGCCGTCCGCCGCCCCATGGACCGAGGATACCTGATAAACCCGGAGCTGCAGCGGGAAATCTGGTCGCACCTCTTCTCATCCGTCCTCCGCATAAACCCCTCGCAGTCCTCGCTCCTCCTCACGGAACCCCTCTTCACGCTCCCCTCCATCCAGCGCTCTCTCGACGAGCTCGTCTTCGAGGACTTCAACTTCCGGGCCCTATACGTGGCTCATCCCCCCGCCCTCGTCCACCTCCACGAGGCTACCCGCCGGCCCAGTGGGCTTCTCTCCCGGGCTCAGTGCAGCCTCGTCGTCGACGCAGGGTTCTCCTTCACCCACGCCTCTCCCGTCTTCCACAACTTCCCTCTCAATTATGCCGTGAGGAGGATTGACTTGGGCGGCAAGGCCCTCACCAACTACCTCAAGGAACTCGTTTCCTTCCGCTCCGTCAACGTCATGGAAGAGACCTTCATCATCGACGACGTCAAGGAGAACCTCTGCTTCGTCTCCCTCGACATCGACCGCGACCTCACCATCGCCAGGTTTTCACAATGCCCCCTCTTCAATCTCTTACCACCAAATTATACACCTGCTCACTTTTAACAACCAAATTCTTGTGTGTTACTAATATTAAAATGAAATTGAGTTTGTAAAATTGAGGGAATGTGCTGGTGCTGCTGCATCAATGTGTCTAATGTAGTATCAATAACATATCTCAAACTTTTGTCTGTAACTGTGCCGCGACTAGCGTTGTGTGAGAGTACCGTACCTCATCTAAAGGTGTGTTTGTCTATGTTTCACTGTAAGCACTCGTAGGAGAAGAAAAGAGGAAATAAATTTCTCTATAAGCTTATGCATGAGTTGAAAATCATCTTTTAAAGAAGTTAACATAAGACAGCTTCTACAAATTAACTTATGCATTCTAATTTCTTTTCTTTTCTTCTTCTTTTTTCTCTCTTCGAAGTACTTATAAAGATATTTACCAAAATGATCTCCAGTCGGATATGATTTTGTTCTTCATTGTAGTTGTATTGATTCTGAGGTGAAGTGATTTATGTTGGAGTGTTTGAATGATTTGACACGAAAAACAAGAATCTGTAAAGTGCGGTATACAATCTTTTATCTGCATGAGCTTCCTAAAGCTAGTTCCAGTCAATATTAATTGTGGAGCCTGAATCAATTTTTTAATGGGAATAAACATATTAACATTTTCTTAAGATAGTGTCAACTGCTATTTCAAAACTCTAGACGACTCAATGAGAAATCAAAAACACACTAACTCTTAGGTATGCACATTTTTGTTGTGCTTTTAAATGTGTTACTTCATTAGTACAACACTGGTCTGACAAAAATTTCACGTGTGATTTTATAGGAAGAGTGGGAAAGAGAATCTGTTCAGGTGCACCTATGTGCTTCCGGATGGTGTCACACACACAAAGGGGTTTGTTAAGTATCCAGACCAGGCACGGCGGTATTTTGCATTGAGGGACAATAACCATCCTTCTTCGGCACCAGTGGAGGCAGAGGGGGACACGAATTGCTCAGAAATTGCTGAGCAGCCGGGGGACAGAAAGAGAGTTGATTTGCCAAAAAATGTATTTGCCACTGTTTCTTGTAGTGTCCCATTGTTGTGTGTCAATGTTCTTAACGATATGTTTTCACTTTCTGTAATCTTTAGGAGTTTGACTTGACAAATGAACGGTTTCTTGTGCCAGAGATGATCTTCCGTCCTGCTGATTTGGGTGCGTGGATACAATATGATTTTGGTTAATTTTTTAGTTGATGAGTTTCTCTAATAACTGTAAATGAGGATGTTGGTTGAATTTGACTGCGTGTCCTTATGTTTTGGCTTTTCTTTTTCTGCATAATGCACAAAATGGCTTGCAGGAATGAACCAGGCTGGGTTAGCAGAATGCATTGTTCGAGCTGTTAATGCATGCCACCCATATCTCCATCCTGTACTCTACGAAAGGTAGCCAGTTCAGACCGTTTGATTTTATGGCCCTGTGTATATACATGTTTCTTAATTCCACACACTCTCATTTTTCAATACCGTGTCTGCACTCTTTTGGCAGCATCATATTAACCGGTGGAAGCACCTTATTTCCTCAGTTTGCTGAGAGATTGTAAGTTTTTTGTTTGGAGAACTGCACTTTGTACCATTATGTCATAATTTTTTTGCTCTCTGATAACCTCTCTTTCTTGCCCTGTGTATCATGCTGCAGAGAGAAAGAGCTTCGGCCTCTAGTTCCTGATGACTATCATGTGAAGATAACAGCCCAAGAAGAGTAAACATCTTCCCTAAATAGTTTATTTCTTCTTAGTTGATATTTTTTCTGCAGAAGGACTTATGGTTCGTCTGCAGTCCCATACTAGGTGTTTGGCGTGGAGGGTCACTGTTGGCATCGAGTCCAGATTTTGAAGCAATGTGTGTGACGAAGTCTGAGTATGAGGAGCTTGGTTCTGCTAGATGTCGCAAGAGATTCTTTCATTAACTATACACGCTATCAACATGGCTACGCAATATTGTATGTAATCCTAATCTATAATACGTAAGCGTATATGCCTGTTTTTTTTTTGGTCTCTTTCATTTACTATTTCCTACAGCTTCCTCACAAGCAAATGGCGCGTGGGAGAGAAAGCTTTGTGCTGCAGGAAGGGTGCAATGGAGAATGTTGTTTGAACCCTCTGTAAATTATTGATTGGTTGCCATTATTCTGCCCTCATATTTCCAGCGATTCTTAGTTGGGACCAAGGTGTGAATTTGGGAAGATCATCCTCTGTGTGAAGAGTTTTCAGGTGAACTTGATGCAGGCATGCTGGTAATATTGGGTTAAAGTCCATACTGGATGGTTACTTCAATTTTTCTATGCAAGGATGTGGTATGCTTATAAGGTGGGATCTAATCTGATATCCGAAGGATTTAGATATCAATATAATATCCAGTATCTAGATTCTGAAGTTAGCCTTAAGTATTTCTTTTCACCTGCTTTTTAAATGTGTAATTCTGTGAATGTGAACTTTTGGGGTTCTTGCTGCTATTTTAATGTAAGTAGAATTGTCTCTCTTTTTTTCTTGCCAATTGTTTAATTAAATTTTAAATGTGCGTGGAATCATCAATATAATTTCATTTTAAATCCATTGGTCTCAAATTACCCTTGCTTAAGCTATGAAGTTTAATGGTTTAGCCGGATACGCTGTTTTCCCATTTCATAGAAATGCCACTCGGCTTTGGTTGGGATAAGTTATTCAATTCTCACTTCTGTATATGCAGCTATGAATGGTGGCTTTTCTACTTATGTTGCATTTCTGGTCCCTTGTATGAGGTGTGGATGAAGAAATTCAGGGACGGGTAAATACTGCGTTGGTAAAACTCTTCCAGTTTGGGGTAACAGAAACCATACATTTTCTCCCGATTTCATCATTAGTAACTTGAAGTTTATGGGTTAACTGATTAAAAAGTGCCACTACCAAATTGCTTGATAAATCCCGTCCAAGGAACCAAAAAACTTGAAATTTCAAAACTAAAATTATGTGAGGATTTTCAATTTTGATCCTCTTAAAAGATTGAAGTAACACACATTAGTCTTAAATTCTTGTCACCAAATTAAATCTGATAATTTTTAAACATTTATTTGGTTTTCTAAACAATTTAATATCAAATTTATCTAAGTAATTTTCCTGTGAGTTGGTGGTGCACTCTCTGACTAATCTCGAACGAACACTACAATGTTATTGGGACCACCAGCATCTCTCATCTGCGTTTGAGAAACATATCATAAGACTTTCATACCAATTGATAGAAGCCTTGTGACAATCACGACAGAAACTAGTTGTTGTAGTTGGAGAGCTAAGGCCCTGTATTCTCCACAATAGAATATTATACTTCCAGTTCCAGTGGCTCGAGTTAAACTTTACAATTAGAGGGATGATTAGGGTGAGAGTGTCAGCTACCATCGAAACACAGAAGAGTATACAATGTTTTGTTGCCACATTATTTCTTGCATCCCATAATACTCACCTCATAAACATATATTGAGTCTAAAGCTACAAACCTTGTTCCCGTGCACACAATTATGTTACATCCCATTACACAACATAAACCAGACTAAGTATTAAGACCTAGAAGATCTAGTTTCTGATTGTTTAGATATAATAAACAACTCTTATATTTTTTAAATATGTAATAAATAACATTAAATTTAAAAAATATATTAATGTTAATAACAAAGTTCTAAAATAATATATTATTAATAATTAATTGGTAACAATGCTACACATAACACTACGAACATAATTATTATATATTTAATGGTTAATTTATTTGAAACCACGAAAACTGCTCCTCCGCCATCCAAATTTACTCAACAACTTTATGCAAAAATTGCTAGGATCTTGACCCTTGAACATCGACAGCTTTCAGCAAAACATAACAGTTTCTTCAATTTGTCGTGTGATGGCACTCACTTGATACAATTTTTAATTTAATCCATGTAAATATATATTTTTTATATTATTTTAATGCCTAGCTTCTTAGTCATCCCAACAATTAAAATTAATTATGTAACGGTAGAGATTAACACTGAAAATATAAATACTATAGAGACTATACAAAAGTACTTTTAAAAAGAATAATTTCAGAAGATATGCATTTTATAAAAGGCTAAAAGAATTTTTAATTTATGAATGTGGGAGAGTATATTACTTGGTATATTTTCTCCCTTGTGACCACATATGTGCATGCCAGTTGAATGTGTCAAACAGACATCGAGAAAAAGGCAAAATATGATACTGCTCTGAACAGATTCTCTTTTGGTCACAGTTTTATTTGATCTAGACTGTAGGTAAGTCTAGGTTCAGTTTCGGACAGAGTTAACTTGAGCTTGGTTTTACAGCAAGATAACATCACTATAAATATAACAAGTTAACATATGTTGCCAACCAAAAAGCTATAGAAGCACTTGAAAAGGTTTATCATGTCATGTGCCCCCTAGAGTTCCCCTTAACGCTTCATTGAGGACTCTGTTAAGGTCCACTTGGACTAGTCCCTACTGAAGTGTTTGGGGGAGCTCCCGGTGGCTCTTGATGCTTCAAAGTGTGAAAACTTCCACCAAATTTCTCATTGAAAAAAAAGAAATTACTGATGTTTATACACCTTTTCTTTTCTTATCCTTCTTGCTGTTTTAATTTTTCTTTCTCTTTTTTAGTACATTACATCATTTAATCTCTCTATTCTCCCTTTCTTATCTTTCTCTTGTTGAATAAGGTTTGTACAATCCAAAAGGTGTCAAAATAAGAATTTTCCTTATTACACAGCTAAAATAATACTCAGCTGCCTCTGTTGTAGTACCAAGATAAGAAGAGACCAGCAATGGACCAAGTGGTGCCTAGCTTTCAGAAACTAGAGCAAAAGTTAGGATTGCACAATCAGTGCATTCGTGGTAGCATCTGATGATGTTATCATTGATCTTTTAGCCCCTTAACTTCAACAACGATGATAGATAAGAAAAAAAAAGGATGTGAGCAACAAATTTCATTCTTCTAACCTTTTATTTTGTGTTTATTTTTAAAAAAATTTATGTGTACCATGTTCTTACAAGCTTCATACTCTTTTACTATTGATTGATAGCCTATGATCCCCAGTCCATGCAAAAACAACTGATGCGAACACTTTTAATGTGATGTAAACTCTTGGCTAGCAATGTGTCCATGACAGTTGTGTACAAACAAATATCTAAATAGCCATAATCAACAGAGAAATGAATGCAGAATACTGCTTTGCGGAACTTCTATAGCATGGGAAAATAATGTGCTAATATTTAATTGAAATTTCATTTAAGTACATGCCACATTCTATCCTGTCAAAACCAACCTTATAAAAATAAGGAATGTATATACAGATGTTCAAAATTTGGTGTACACAAGAAGATAGTGGGCGAGATGGCAATGAATGAAGTAGGAGTATGATTCAAAGGGCACCCATTTGACTTGTAGACTTTCTTACAGGACCATGGACTCTCTTCTGTTCTGATTGGGAGTTTCTCCCTGCAGTTTTTGAGACTGCAATCTGTTCAAGAGTTTCTAAAACCTCTGTCATTGGAGGCCTTGACTTGGCTTCACGATTTAGGCATTTTAGAGCAAGAGTGGCAGCCATGTAGGCTCCTTTTTGTGGGTATTGGCCTCCCAACTTGGTGTCCATAATCCGAAATAGTTTTCTTTTGTCACCCAAATATGGTTTTGTCCACTCTACTAGATTCTGCTCCACACCAGCTTTTGTTCTGTCAACGGCACGTCTACCCGACAATAGCTCAAGCAACACAACACCAAAGCTGTATACATCACTCTTAGCCGTCAGCCGACCTGTTAAACAATTAGAGCTTTAGTACGATGATTTGCATAAAATAAGACATGTGAAAGGGGCAGTGCATTAGGACAAACAGTGTATCTAAAAATTGAGGCACGCATTTACCTGTTTTGACAATAGCATATGGATTAGAATTCAGAAGGAGATTAATAATTAACCCCACTGACCCCTATGCAATACCATATATTTGTAGTTTACACTATACAGAAGAAACTGAACTGTAGATCAGTTCAATATGCAGATTCTCATACATTTGATTTGAATAATATCATGTTCAAATGGACATGAATGATTGTAGGCCATTAACCATTTGCTAGAAGCAATGCAAGGTACCAACAGTTTACACAAAACTAAGTACTAAGGAATACCTGTTGCAACATATTCAGGTGCTGCGTATCCTTGAGTTCCCATGACTTGAGTAGAGACATGAGTTCTATCACCCGTAGGGCCGGCCTTTGCTAAGCCAAAATCAGAGAGTTTAGGATTGAAATCCTGTAATTCAATAATGATTAAAAACTATTTTTCATGATATAACAGGCTTGAAGAAATTATTGCATAATTTATATCCTCATTGATCTTACAGCGTCAAGTAGGATATTAGATGCTTTAAAATCACGGTATATGACTTGAGACTTGGCATTATGAAGAAAAGAGAGCCCTCTGGCAGCACCAATAGCCACTTTCATTCTCACTGACCAAGATAGAGGCTGTGGTCCTCCTGTCAAATATAACGAGCCCCATCAATAACAATGCAAACTACTGTAATGGATTCATAGATAGTTTCTAAGTTCATTAGTTATCAAATCATACTCAAATATGTAAATAACAAATTAGATCATTCTTAACTTAAGGAACCGGCTGTCTTTGTTGATATCTTTATTATTCTGTGAGTTTCTTTGATTACATAACCATTAAGGTAATAGCTTAATAAACTAAAATTACAGGAAAACAGTGTAATGGTTATGGTAACTTACTTCTAAATAGATGATTCTCTAGGCTCCCTTTGGACATAAACTCATAGACTAACAGCCGGTTTTCTCCCTCCAAGCAGTATCCGATCAATTTAACCAGATTCTGATGGTGAAGTTGCCCAAGGTAGTCCACTTCAGTCTAGAAAATGATTAAACTTCACTAATGAGACCATGAATAATATTGAAAAAAATATATACTTTCTTAGGGGAAGGGGTTCAATTGTAAAGTATGCTTAAGCAAGCTAAGGCTTGGAAATGGAAACAAAACACCTACCAACCACTCCTTATGACCTTGTAACCCTTCAGGCTTGAGTTTCTTAACAGCTACTACCATTCCTGATCCTGGTCTTGAAGCTGTAAATGTGTGTTCATCAATCCACCCCTTGTAAACATAACCAAATCCTCCTTCCCCAAGAAGACTGTCGGGGCGAAAGTTTCTGGTGGCATTCCGTAGCTCATTAAAACTAAAGGCCTTAAGATTTGGGGAAGACAAGATTTCACCCTCGGACCTTGGTGTGGGAAGACTTGAGACATCACTTGCCTCACAATCTGACTGAATAGATAAGTTGGAAGGAACAGATGAAGGACTAGTCTTTGAAATTCCTGATGCAGGCAAAAGTGGAAACAGTTAGTCGATATATGCTACCATTTCACAAACAAAAACAGGCACTTGCCAATAACCTTAAAACTCAACCAAATGCACTCATGTAAAATGATGTTCACACCTTCCACACCAGAAGGAAATGTATGATAACACCAAGCATCCATTCTCCAATCCTAGTTCATATGATCCCATGGATTGAACCCTAGCAGATACCAAACCAAACAAACCAAACTTGCAGCACCCAAAACAGAAAGTAGACAACAAAAGCTTGAAAACCCAAAAAGAATTCACAATCTACAACACCATCAAATCCACAGCTTTGAAAGCCGTAGTGTAAAAATCAACTTTGACAAATGACAAAGGCAAGCATGCACCCAGGCATATCACATACATCCCTTCAAAACAAACAAAACCAAGGTTTTAAAAAAATGGTTAGCAATCACGATTTCAGTCGGATCCTTAAGTCTTTTTCCCTCATTGCTACTACAATCGCACCTGCTGCATCTGCAGCAATTTTTACATTTTCCTATAATGGCAAGGATGCCAATGAAATTGCAACTGCGATCACAATTTAAAATCTTGACAAATGTTGCGCGGCAAATGAAGAATTGCTGACAGAAAGGCAAAAAGTAAAGAAAAGAAGAAGAAAAAAATAAAAAAGTACCATAAGGGGTTCTGGAACTGTGAGCTGCTTCTATTTTAGCTGAAGAACCGAGGCAGTTACCCATTATCCCCTGGCAGAAACTCAAGTCACACTACACTTTGTTTGCTTAAAAGATGGAAATAGAAAAAGTGGCCTCTTTATATGGGTTTGGTTTACACTTTCAAGGAAAAAAATGCTTGAAGAAAAGGGAATGACATTTTGTTTGACAAGAAAAAAGAGGGAACGGAAAGAGAGGAGAAAGTACTCATGAATGACATAAGACATTGCGATTGATTGAAGCCAAGTCTTGTTAAGGAAGACACGGGAAGCGCGTGGGGTCACACTGCCCTCTCATGACGGGTTCTTCACACTCTGCATTTACAATATTACCCCTCAATTTTCGATCTCTTTCACACTTCAATACGAACGGGATATTCTCGTTGTGACAAGTTCCAGAATTGAATGTTAGTTTATTATTTTTTTTTTCCAGTGAATCGAATCCATGTTCTTATCCAACGTTCAAGTCATTTATTGAACGGGTTTTATCTATCGACTTTTAAATCATTTTCGGATTTGACTTGGACAATTATCAGTTAAATTATTCAGTATGGATGTTGAAGTGATTCAAGCATTTGGATTGGAGTAATGGAAAATGAAGAGAGGTTGATGGTAACGAATGAAAGAGAATTAAAAATAAAATAAGATAAAAATCTTACCTTTTTCCTTTCCACTCCCTCCCTTCGTTCCTACTTGGTAAATTCTTGGGTCATGATGAGATATGAACATACGAAATCATGAGGACAAAATGGTCTAGCACAAATTGAGTGGCTTGCAACCTAAGCCAAAGATTGGGATAGAATTGTTATTGCAAAAAGTCAAAAAAAAAAAAATGGTTTGAGGAAATTATGGGAATGAGTGCATTGGAATGGAAGGTGGAAACCTAGTCAACTGAACAAGGACAAGTTGACCACGTATGACAACAAATTGGATTGTCTCTTACCTTACACTTCCATCTAATAACACTATCTAATAACATCCAAATTTGGATACCACATTTCGTAATAAAAAATAAATAATGAAACGTAACATACAAGACTCTTCCAAAATCTACCACCTTCCCTGGCTTGTAAACCATTTTATTTATTAATTATAAGTTTTTCCCATATTCAAGAATTATAAATTCAACTTTAAAAAATATTTCTATCATTCCACAATTTAAAATATTTGCTACCTTTGCAATGGATATCCATAAACTTGAATAACCCCAAAACTGAACTTGAGAAAAATATAAAAGCCTCGTACATATGTGCTTTAAAAAGTTTTGGGCAAAATCTTTTTTTTTTTTGTTTATCAATTATACTTTTATCTAATTTTAAATTCATTTATATGTGTATCACAAAAATGAAAATGGTATAACTTTTGCATGTTATTTTCTCTAATAAAAACCCGTGTATATTAGTCTAAAATATAAATAAAATATTAACTAATCTTACTTTTTTTTAAATGAACTATCTCCAAAAATAAATTATTTCATTGAGATTGAATTTTCAAGGACCCCTTTTTTATCCAAATTCCAACAAAGACAATATAATTTAAAAAAAATTAAATTAAATAATATTAACCAAATTCTTAATGAACATAATTGTTTTGCTTTTATTTAAAATCAAAACGATTACAATAGTTTTTTTTAATATATAACTATCCTATCATGCATGAGTAATAAATGTATTTTATAGTTTCAGTATGAAAACTTCAAATGAAACTTAGAAAGAAAAAGGAGAAATTAAAAAACATTGTTCACATATGAGTGTGAATTTATGTGGCAGTGTTAATGCAACTAAGCTTTTCAATTAAAAATATTCAATCAATACAAATTTAATAAAAAATATTCCTAAGTTTTTATTTACTTTTGAGTTTCTTTTCAATCCAATTAATTATGCATTAACTACTGTTCTTCAAAAATGGACTAAACCAAGTAAGCAGCAATGAATATCAAATGATATCATTAAAAAAGTTTGTTGGCAAATTAAATGACCTCACAACATATCTAATTACACAATAATAAATAATAATATAATATAATAGATGATTTAACACATTATGTGAATTAAACCATATATCTAAATAATTAACAATCAATATCATATTAGACAAGTTGAATTAGTTATGATTGAGGCTATTTTATAAATAATATCTCACACATTTATTGGTCTTGCATTTTTTTTTTCTTGGCAAGATTATTGTAGGATTCCATTAACACATTAAGTGACTATTATTCAACAAAGTAACAACTAATATCATTAAACAAGTTGAATTAATACAAGTAATGTTAATGAAATATTCAATTAAGTAACAACTATGGTATCATGAGAAAAGGATTAGACTCAGTAAATTGATAGTTTTATCTTAATAATATATTTTGGTTTACTTTGTTTGGTTTCTCAATTTAACAAGTCAAGGATGGAATATCAGAGTCCATAAACCCGTTTTTAAAAAGAAATTATATATTAAAATAAAAAATATAATTTAAAATATTATATTTTATGTATTATATTATTAAAATATATAAATATGTTATAATATTATAATTTAAATTATAAATATCACAAATTAAATTTAATATCACTTATAATAAAATATTTTAATACAAAAATATAAAAATTTTCTAAATTATCAAATAAAAATCTTAAATTAATACTCATATAATTAAGTATTTTAAATGAAAAACCGGTAAGTTAACGAAATAAAATCTATAATTTATCTTCATTATAATAAATAAATTTGTTCTACATCTTTTTGAGTAGACAAACGCATAAAAATGGAATAAATTGAATCGTTTTATCACCAAAAATAATATGATATATAAAAAAATTATTATATTATATGATTAAAATCAATATTCAATTAATATCATACTAATGGAAATATTTAAGGTATTGTGTATATGTATTTATAATATGTGAAATATATCTTATATGGATGTATATTTTTTATTCATCTACTTTATTTATATTTTTTTATTTTAAAAGATAATAAAATATCTTAATACTTAATTTAAATAAAAGATAATAAAGTAATATTTTCAATAATTATTTTTATTTTAATATATATTTATTTGAATTTGGTATTCTTCCTTCTACTTTAATTGAAATTTTTCTTTTTTACTCCTTTTTTTTGTGTACTTCTTGTCATCTTTCTTTGCATGAAATTACTCTTTATTTAACTTTATTTTCTTTATCAAAGTATTTTTTTCATTTATCAATTTCTTTTCCTTTATTTCTTTCAAACTTCATAGTACTATCATTAACCCTTTCATAAAGGTTAAAAACGGTTTCTTCATTTACATCTTTATTTTCCTCCTTATCAAAGTTTCTTAAAGAAATATTCATCATGTTTTTGTTTTTTTTTTTTACTTTTCTCATCTTTATTTTCCTCTTTAACAAAGTTTCTTCAAGAAATATTTATCGTACTTCTTTTTTATATACTCATTTGTAATCAACTCTTCTTTTATCAAATCTAAAGTAAAACTTTCATCAAATATAAAGTGAAAATTTTTCCTTTCATGTGAACTTTGAATATTTTTAAGTTATTTGTCTCGTTAATCACACAAAGTTTGTATTTAAAATACACCTTATAAATTTTCTCCAATAATTGAGAAACACTTAACAAATTATGATTAATATTAAAAACATATAAAACAAAAAAAATTAATTTGATACTCAAGTGACTTTTAACTGCAATTTTTCTTGTACCTTTCACATCCATTTGTTTTTCATTATCAATTCTTACTTTAAAAAATATTCTTTGAGCTCTTTGAAGAGTTCTTGATCATGAATCATGTTGTCTGTACAACCACTACCAAACTATCATGTGAATTTGTTGATTGTACAACATGTTGACACAAGGAGAAGTTTCACTTCTACAACATCCTTTCTATAACCTTATACATTCTTTTGACTGTGATTTGCATATCTTTTTTATATGTCTCAATTGATCACATTTGTGATATTTTACATCAAGCTTCCACCAACACTTGTTGTATGAGTGATTATTTTTCTTACGATAAGGACAGACAAAACCATAACCTTCACCAGCATCATAGTCTCCTCTTATCAATCTTCGTTGTTCTTGCACTTATAAAGCATGTAACACTTTTGTCAAAGTAATATTAGACAAACTTTTTTGTGTTTTCCAATGAGGCAATAAATGTTTCATATCTTTTTGGCACAGTTACTAGAATTTTCTCAATTATTATGGAATTAGAAAATTTCTTACCTAACAATTTTATCTTATTAGTCATACCTAACAATTTGTTTGAGTATTCATTAATTGTCTCATACTCTTTCATCCTTATAATCTTAAATTCCTTTATCAAGTTTAGAATTTTTATACCTCGAATTTTGAGTCCCCTTCATATTGATCTTTCAAATAATCCTAAATTTTTTTTGGTGACTTTAGGTCATGATTCCCCGCCGAGGATCATTTGTGAAACACCAGTAAACAGACATGATCTAGCTTTTGTCTTCCTCGTTTTTCTTTCTATATGAAATTTGATTTGAGTTATGGTGAAATTTTCAGGTAATGAGGTAATCTTCTTCTACATCTTTCCATACATTCAATTATTCAAGATAAGATTATATTCTCACAGTTCATAAGTCATAACTTTCGTCATAAAAAATTAGAATAACGACATGTAAAAACCTTATTTCTTCTTCCATTTTCTTGTAACAACCAAAGTTGTGATATTATTAATTGAAATTTTTAGGGTTTTATGTATTTATATTTCTGATATATGAAATATATTTCCTATAAATTTATTTTTTATTCATGTACTCTATTTATATATAAAGTAAAAATATAACAAAATATCAAATTATAATAATATTTCAATTATAATTGCTTAAATAAAAATAATAATTTAATAATAAAATATTTTAATACCTAATTTAAATAAAATATAATAAAATAATATTAGAATGAATTAACCATAATTCATTTATATATAAATTAAACACATAATTTAAATAAAGGATAATAAAATAATATTAAGATAAATTAACCCAATGTATCAATTAAACATGGAATAACATCACGTAATTCCACTAAATAACAACTAATATCCTATAATACTACTAGACAAGTTGAAATATTAAATGATTGAGTTACATTTTTTTTTTTTAAACAACAACAACTAATATGATATAATGTGGTAAGATATATTAAATAAGCAGATAAATTCAAATGGGCCCACATGTATTTGTTACGTATAAGAGACGTAAGATAGAGTATTTTGACGAAATGCCCAATCTTCTTCTTCTCATCTCTATTTATAAAACACATTTTAACGTTTCATCTTCACCCCTTCACACTATTCTTTTCCTCTAGCAGCAGAGTATTTTCCTCAAAATTTCCAATTCCAAACGTGGTGGAGAATGAGGTTTATAGCGACCTCAACTTTGAATAAAGACAACCAAAATTGCGATTCAATAATTACTTCCATTTTAATTATCAAATCAGCCTGAAGCTTTCATAGAAAATTTCGGATTCAGCGAGGAAAATGTTCATGTATAAATAATAAAATATTAAATATTAATAATATTTTAATTATAATTATTTAAATCAAAATAATAATATAATATTTTTTCTTATTTTAAATATAATAAAAAAATTAATACTTGATTTAAATAAAAATATTAAAATAATATTTTAAATATTTTTCTTTTATTTTTATTCCTTTCTATTATTATTTGTTTCATCCTCTCACACTCACCATTGTAATTTTTTATATTTTTTTATATGATTATCTCTTAATTTAATTTTATTATCTAGTTGTCACATTTTTTTAATTATTTATAAATTAATGTTTTTCTTTTAATACTTTTTTATGTGTGTAGTGAGTTTTTTTATTTAGTCTCTAATATTTTAAAAGTTTTTATCTAAGTATTTTTTATATATGATATAGTGGAGTTTTCTTGTATATTTTTATTTATGTATTTTATATATATTGAGTAAAAATATCATAAAATATTAAATATTAATAATATTTTAGTTATAATTATATAATAAAATATATTTTTTATTCTAAAATAATATAATTATTTTTTAATACCTAATTTATATAAAAAAATATTAAAATAATATTAGTATTACATTTGTAATCATTTTTAAAGTTTTCTAAAATATAGATCTTAGTTTTTTTTTATTTAGATCTTTTGTTTGAAATTGGAAGATTGACGAGAATTTAAAATATTTTTAAAGGGAGTTACTAATTAAAATTACTTAAAAATAAAAATAAATATATTATAATAGATTTTATATTTTAGTTACTTAAAAATCAAGAAAATTGTTTAAATTTAGAAAAAAATTACTTATATAAACACCTTTAAATAAATTTTAAGTAACTTAAACTTATAATAAAATACTTAATTTATAATAAAATATTTAATTTTATTGTTAAAAAATTCTGGTTAAAAACTTATGTCTCTGCCATCTTGAGGACTAAATCAATTCATTATCTAACGTTGATCACGTTGTTTTTAGGTGTAAGAGGAGGTTGACTTGTGGGTTTTACATCTCAAAATTCTAGCTTTCCTTTTTGGTTTGGATATTAAATTCTTGACATTGTGTTTGGCTTTTAAAATGAAAGATGATTCTTTTGGGTGAGAACATATCAAATATTGATTCAGTGTTGATCTATTTCGGCCCTTAATTGTATAAACAATTGGTTAGTTTTACTTAGTAGCTACCCAAATACAAGTGCGTAGTGGTGGGCATGAATTTATGGGGCATATAACAAGTTCATCTTTTTCACAATAAACCGTTTTGGTTCTTTGGTCAATTCCGCCATCACAACCATTCACAAATTTGCTAGGAACCGGTGTCTTCACTGCTGAGTGGGAATCCCCTATCAACAAAGCAACGGGGGTGCGTTCTTATGATATTCTCTGGATTATCGTATCAGATATACATCAAGGGGCAGAAGTTGCAGAGATTGCAGAAGAGAAAAGCCATCCATGCCAAGAGGAACATCTCCGTAAGTTTTGAATTGAGATCTTAATGTCATTGTATCTACTTTACCCTTCAAGCTCAACACTAGTTGCACCAAATATATCCTTCTGTGAACCCCATTTAGATTTACAAAAATGTTAGTTTTTGTTTTCAATTAGTTTCCTATTTCTAAAATTTTATACAGCAAACAAAAAAAATTATTTTCATCGTTTGGTGTAACAAATTTTAAAAATTGAAAACATCTTTTCCATAGATGTCTTTCCTGATTGCAATATAAAAATAAAAGTTGTTTTTATTGTTTGTTGTAGAATATTTTGAAGAAAAAAGAGATCAAATTGAAAAGGTGTGGCAGCTCTTTTATAAAATTTAGAGTGAAAACAAAGGTCCTAAAAGTTTATGCTTCATTTCTTGTTGACTGGTACTATAATTATCAAGTGATTATGTATCTTGATACAGTTAGTTTTTTGTGAATATTATTTCAGTGTCAAATTAATGCTTAAAGAAACCTTGCTAAATATTTGAACGTGGTTTTGTTCAATTAATATATCTATTATCGGGCTCTTGTACTAGCGTTCGATATTGTTCAATTAAAGATTCTAATTTGAATGTCATTTACTTTTCTTTCAGATCTGGAAGCTCAAATTTCTATACCAATGATTACTGCGCTAAGTGGAGTGTAAAGAAAAAGTATATATAGAAATATAAATTATTAACTGGTTGGATCTTGTTGAGTACACTGCTAGTTGTTTTTTAAATTAAGCTTACTTGAACATAGAAGTACATTTACAGAAAAAATCTTAGTTGGTCTTGCATCATCAGATTTGTTGGATCATGCATGTCGTCCAAGTTTAAAAGATTAAAAATATAGTTCAAATTATTATGACCAAAATATCTAAGATACCTCCAAGTATTTCAGAATTTTCCGTTAGAATTTCTCATAGTTACTGTGCAGTCAAGAAATTATGGAAGCGGTATTATGCATTTTAGAATCATTGAACTTGAGTTAGTGGAAATTGGTTGGCCAAGCCAAATGAGTCGAAGGGAGTCTTTGGTGGACAAAGTTAACAACAAAGGTATGAACTTTATTTTGTAGGACGTTCCCTCTCACTTCTTATCAACTGCTTTTGCCTTGTCATCATTGTCATTGTACTGTATTCCACCCCACCAACCATGAACTAGTAGTGATTCTAACTAAATATAAGAATGCCGTGAAGGTAGAATTAGTCCTCCACACCGCACAAGACTACACTCCGTTGCAAACAAACCATATCAAAGAGAAAGCTATGTGTTGCCTCTATCAGGTCAGGGTACAGGGTGACCTGTAAACTCTTGTAAGCATATGATTTACACATCCCCCATTTCTTGTTCTCTTGTTCTGTTTTGGTGATGCTTCCTGGCATTTGTCTTTATCATTTTCTTTTATTTACCTGGAAAATAGTGGTGGGGAAGTCAATCTACCAAATTCTTAGTTTGGCGAATTCTAAATCTAAGTAAGAACTGAAACAGGTATTTGCACACCAAACCAAACGCCAAACCAAAATGCATTTCCACTCACTTATAATTAAGTTTCAGTACATCAGAACCAAAAGGGAAAAGTATTTATTAGATAACCTATGCACACTCAAACAACAAATTAGAATCCAAGTTCCCACTGTTAAGTTTCTTCTCTCTTCTATCTATGCTAATGTATTCATGCACACTCAGGAATCAGGATGCTACTGATTACACAACAAACTCTGTACAAAAAAAGGTTTCGGACAAAATGCTGATTGCTGGATTGGAGAAAAACAAACCCAGAACAATATCAAAAGAAACAAACCAAAGAATGACACACTAAGCAAGCCAATCTTATGTGCAAGTTTCAAAAAGGTAACTTCGAGATGTTAGATATGTTGATGGCAGCAAGAATGTATCATAACATTCTTGGGGAGCAGTATATTCCTTTCAAAACTTTAGGCAGAGTGAAATTGTAATTTTCTCCACAAGCCAAATTACTGCCAAGGATGAGAAAGTAGGATTCCGAAGGAATCAATATTTGTCTCTTAGATGATTTATAGACTGGGTAGTAGGGCTCTTTTGCAGGGTGGTGGTTGTGATGAGTTGGCACTTGGGTTGATAGATGGAGATTCCACTCCTAGTGTTTTCCTTAAGAAGTTCCTTTCCTGAAAGAATATATGTAAAAATAATTATTAGTCTCTAGTGTCAAACATCGATAACTCTAATACTTGACAAAAAAAACGAGAGGTGTCATTACCAACAAGAAACTAAAATAAAACAAATGTATGTGAATAACATCCAACAGCTTCCACTGATCTTGCCACAAAAATAAGTACTGTTTGTTAAGAGGTAGCTTTTATAGTTTTCAGCATGAATATATGCTATTATGAGTTTGATTGGATAAACTTCTCCAGACTTAGGGAAAATTTTATCCATACAAACCCTATAGTTATATCATTATATGCTCCTATGTATTGCAAATTTTAGTGAGATCTTTCACCTATTAATTTTTATGCTAAAAAATCCAAACGCCTTTTAGAAAACCTAGTACTTGATTGATTACAAACAGGTTGGTCTTCTTCATTTACCTCTTTTTTACCTGCATCAACAGAGCTCACCTCATCTGAACCTGAATGGACTTAAAAGAAGCGATAGATGATATGAGGAATACTTGAGTTAAGGTGTCTGCGGTTTCATCTACTGAATTTTGACACTAATGATGAAAATACAAAAATGCTATCATTATTTGATTCATTGTTGACAGATTAATTTTTAATATATAATCCGCATTCACCATACTAAACTAAAAGAAAAAATGACATAATTTCATTAATCCAACAACGCTTTAACAAGTCACTTTTGGTTTGATTGATAAGCTACTCAAAAATCCCCAGTACAACAAACTCTAAGGCTCCCTCATTTGTCTACTTAATATGTCATATTACTAATAACGTTAATGATATAATCTTTCTGTTGCGATTAAAATTGTTCAATGACCAAGTGCTTGGCTGACTTACACTTTCTGAAAATTGTGGGCTGGGAATTCCTGCTGCCATGGATCTGAACAGAGGGGTTACTTGAACAGGGGAGTTGAACTCCAATCTTGATGAGGTAGAAACAATCCCATCCTTGTTTGTCTGTTCCTCACAACATCGTAACATATCTGCTAGAATACATATAATATTAACACTTATGATTTACGGTATTAGCATGTTGAATAAAGCATAAGCCTTCATATAATTTCCAGGTTAGGAACAACTAACCACTAAAGAGGTTAAGTTACCGTCTGGTTATTCATCAACTCTTTGAACATAATGAACTATTTATACCGTTAATTTTATTAAAAATCATTTTTCAATTTATTTACCTTGATCCATATTTGCAGTAGCAAGAACCCTTTTCTCTTCTCTACCTACTCCGTTTTCATCTCCAAGTTGTTCAGACTTCATTTCGGTTCCAATATCCTGATGCAATGGGTGTTCTGAATTATCACCAGCCGACCGGCACAGGAAAGTTGATTCTGTACTGTATCCAGAACTACCTGGAGAGTCTTCGTACCACTCCACTTGCCTAAAACATATTCAGAAACTATTAGACATTTCGCAGAGGTCACAGGTGAAGTAATAGTTTTAAAGATCTTAAAGTACCTCCAACAAGTCTGGCCTTCCTCATTAACACTCTTCAAATCCTTAATCATATCTTTATCAACAAGCCGTAAATCTGGAATTTTGTGACCAGGGATATCTGATTCTTTATTTCGACTCAGAAACTCTTGAAGAACCTGCCATCAGTTCAAATAAGTGTTAGATGAATTTAAAATGTGTGAAGAATACCATTTATCATATTTATATGCTCAAGAAAAAAGATATATTAGCTCGTGATTGACATCTTAAAATCAACCTGAGTTTTCAATATTTGAATACACGCTAGCAAAGAGATCTACGAAAGGCAAGGTTAACAAATTATTTGATTCATGTTTCTCATCAAATAAATGCTTCAAGTTCATCACGAGAGAAATAGAAAATGTTGTAGTCATTGAAACACTATAGGAGCATGTAATGCCGCCTAATAATGCTAACCAGGGTGCTAAAGAAACAAAGATACAAAATGTTAAATGACTTTCAAAATTTTCATGTAAGTAGGTTAGTACGACAAGTTGCATCTTGTCGATGTTGAATTCTAAAGATATAACCTGTACTTTAAGGGCTTTACTCATCACAAAAACTAGTCAGTTCATTTTTAAAGAAGCAGATAAAGTGTTCAATATTCAAAACTGACGCAAGTTTAGAAGAAGTTCTAAAGCCTCACCTTCCAAGTGTGTTCTAGACTTTGGTCCATATTTTTGGTATCAACTTTTAGAGCTAGTGAACTCAGTAACTCTGCCTGTTGCATCAATGCACTTCTCTTTGGGTCATCCTTTTTGAGAAATGTTCCTTGAATCCTGTTATCGTGGGCTGCAGAAGCATGATAAACCAATATCATCTAACAATGAGAGGATGGCTGAGTTTTGCTTGCTAGATATATTAATTATATCATGCTCTCTTTTCAAATTTTTCTATTCATGAATCAAGTTGCAAAACTAAAGTTCAATTCAAATACAATTACCAGTATCAAACTTGGGATTGCAAACATGATGCTGGTCTGGCAAGTTGTCTGAATTATGGGAATTTTGAGCTAGTACTGTAAATGGTGCTCTTTGCTGTTGATTTAATGGAGCTCCATTACGTAAATGTGATCGGTCCCCAAATTTGATCTTTTCTGCATCATCAGGAATATGGGCCCTCCTATATTGCAATAGGATAACATGTTAACATTTCTCTTTGTAGAATTTGCGTATTTTGATACAAAGAGTATACAGTACCTCATCTTCTTAATAGATACTCCAGATTCTGATGTTGTATCCATATTATTATAATGTTGGAACATAATTCTCTTGTTATTTGAATTGAAGTATGAAGTGCTGTTCTCTTTTGCTAATGCTGCATGTTTTTCTTTCTTTCTGCAGAGTGTGGAGAAACGGTTTTTCACAGCATTATCCGTTCTGCAGATAAAGTATTGCATTGAATATTAACCGATAATAAAATGAGCATCATCTATTCACATGCAGTCATGAAGAAAGAAAGAAATCTGTACTTACCTGCCTGAAACCACCTTTGCTATTTCTGTCCACCTGTTACCAAATATTTTTTGAGCCTACAGAGAAAATGGAGAGAAATAAGATCAGAAATGCCACAATTATCCATGTGTAGTGAAGTTTAGTTGGTGTCATCCGCAGGAGTATGCATATATACATATGAGATCTAGGATGGCTTGGTTATAACTGACTCCTACTAATAGGCTAGGCTGCTTCAGGGCTTAAGTTCGTCAATAGATTGTCTTCTGGCCAGTAAAGACAAAAAGGTCTTATAAGATGGGATTGAACCTAACTTATTCTCATAAAACTGACTTATAAGAAGAGAATTACCAAAGTTATATACAAAATTTGGTCATATTATTGTTGATGTGAATTTCCAACATACTTTCACACTGAAGACCAAATATCTGGAGTGTGACGTTTGCAAATCTTTGTAGATAGTCCAACAATAGCTCAATACCGAATGACCCAATAAGCTCAAAAATCAATTGAATAGACTCTGGTATCATCTTAAATTTGGATTTTAGACTTAATTCAACTCTAAAAATTTAATTTGTAAGATAAGAGTTGTCTCTCACTTATGTCTTCTAATTTAGTCATACTACTAATCACTATCAACAAAAGAAAAAACATGAACTCCAATTTTTCAAAGTTCCATATGCTTTTATTATAGAAGAAACTTGTTAAATTCCCATGGCATCCATTGAAAGTGGGTTCTAAACACAGGGAGAATCATTACCTCACATAAGAGCATGTCTTCCTCAGCTGACCATCCACCTTTCTTGAAATCAGAATTCAAGTATGTGTACCATCTGAAATTTGATTAGTTATAGAAGCATCAGATTGGTATTAACAAAGAACCCAACAGATCTCTTGAACTAGTGAAGATCAAAAATTCAAAAATTGTGACAAATTTAAAAAACTTCACCTTCTTCTGCACTGTCTAGTAGTTTTGTCTTTAAACTTAGAGGCAATGACTGCCCAACTGCATATAATTAATTGCAATAAAAAGCCCTTTAATGTCACCCATCAAAGAAGAAAAAGTAGTGTGTATCACAAAAGAAGAATTAGTAAAGAGAGAGTACTTTTCAGTTCCATGAATACCAATCTGCTCTCTTAGTATATCATCCTCCTGAAAAACTCGTTTATCCATAGTTAGAACTAACTAATGATATATATTGGCAAGTAAAAAATGAATTAAAAAAAAATGCAGACAGCTAAAGAGAGAAAGAAACACCTCTTGAGTCCAAGTCACAATGTGACGCTCCTTCTTTTTAGATTCTTCATTGTGCTCCTTCTTCGTAGACTCTTCATTGTCCTCCTTTTTCGTAGACTCTTCATTGTGCTGCTGCTTCATATCTTGCAGCATCATTTACCTCAGAGAGTGCTTATTATTCTATCGGCGTCCCTCTCTTCTTGACGCTCCTTCCTTTTGCCCGAACCGGGCAACTTGCATGCTAAAGCCAAAGCTTTATAATTAGAAGCTTTTATGTTTTGCAAAAAAATTGTAAAAGAAAGGAGAAAGAAAAGAAAAAGCAAAACCATCACTTCCCCCTTCTCTTTCATATCCACCTTTACACCTTAATAAGCAAAAATCCCATTCCTAAAAGCCCTCACCAAAAGGTATTCAATTGAAAAAGGGAAAAGAAAATTGCTCTTATCCTCAGTGATCAAGGAAGAACCAAACAATAAAACACAGTCCAATACTAAAATTAGAGAGACAGAGCAAATTGGGCAATGAAAAATATTTAGAAGGACATACGGGATTGGATCAAAATCGTATTTTTATCCAAACCTAACAAAATACCAACTACCCAATTAATTCATCAAATAACAAATAACCCAGAAATGGTGGGATCTAAACAACTTGAAAAACTTAGAATATACCCCATAAGCTCAAATAAACAAATACCTCAAATACAACTATGCTTTAATATGTGTTACGTAATCTGAATTAATCAGAATATGTTGACAGCATCAAGCACCAGATAATAGTAGAGAGACTGGTATGAGAAGCACAGTAGAGAGTGAACTGCGTCTTTTAGACGAAAGTACTAACGTTGATCTGTGACTGCCTGAGTTATTTAGTTGTTTTGTTTTCAGCTCTTTCTCTCTCATACTTTTTTGAAAACGGTCACACATCCTCTGAGTTGGTTGGTTCTCTTTGTTTTTAAGAAAGAAAAGAATAAAAAATGGAGATAGAAAGAACCAAAATACTAAATAATATTTCTTTTTTTATGTATTTATATTATTTAATAATCTTAAATAAACGGATACTTGGTGTTAGTGCGCGGGTGTTAAGAGAAGTTTGAATAAGATGCTGAATTTCATGGAAGACTCTGCACCTCCTAACGTGCATAGTTCAGTGTATATTAATGGTTTGGCCCATGGATTATTGTAGTGCATTATTTTTAAAATGAAATTAATGAATTACATTTCAATCTATTCATTTCTTAAAATTCAAAAATAAATTGAAGTGTATGTTTTTATCAGTTACACCGGTTAGGTCAAATGAATATTTTATAAATAACATCATATACAGTTGTAGTATTCATGATTATACGACTATATGGATGAAGTGTTAATGAAAGTGTATGAAAAACTGTGAATTTTAAGGACTCATGAGAATGTACGTGACCTAACAAGTCAGCATAAATAGTGGCTACACACCTTTTTGCATTGAAATTAAATGGTTCATGTGCCTTATTATGTGTCCATCTTAGTTCGTGCTAAATGCACCACTCCATCAAAATGTGGTGTTCTTTCAAATTTTTTCCACTTTTGGTTTTAAAATTTTAAGAAGTAACCCTCCTATTTAGTTTTTAAGTCATCTCCTCTGTTTTTTCTTTAAAAAAAAAATAAATTTAACATCTTTATTTTCGCACAATTATTATTACAACCTAAGTCCATTCGCCATTGCATTTTTTTTATTTCAAAATTAAAGATTAAAGTTTGTTTCAATAAATATAAGAAAATATACTCCTCTTAGTGTTATATTAAATTATATCAATATCTTCTTAATTTAAAAAAATATTTATATTTCTTACATTTAATAAAATAACGTTGTTTATTCTAATTTATAAATAAATATTATTGTTTTAATATTTTTTCAATAAATGATATTCATGTTTTTTATATTTTAATAGTGACATTCATTTCTTCTATGTTATTTTAAAATAGGATGACTAATGTTAACTAAAAAATATAAAATATGAAAATAAAAATATAAAATATGAGTTATTTAAATATTATATATATTAAGTATATCATAAAGATTGCATTATTATAAATTTTCTTCTACAAACGTAAAAATTTATATATGATTTGAAGATAGAATAAATAAATAATATATTATTAAACTTATTAAATATACATCTTAATTTTAATACAAATATAATATAACTAAAAGAATAAATATCACCTATTAACGGTATAAGAAATGTCAATTTTTATATTAAGATTAGAGTGTGATGTTTTGTTGGGAGTATATTTTTTGGTCAATGATGCTAAATTATTCAATTTTTATTGGTAAAAAAATTATTTAATTTATATATTTAAAACTTTAAAGGTTAACTTTTTGAATTTTATTTAAATGTAAGTTTGAAAAAAAAAGGTTATTAAACTCTATTAAAAACAAAACAAAATTAATATTATATATATATTAATAATATAAAAGATATACATATTTGTTTAATTTAAAATATATATATATATATATATATATATATATATATATATAAATGATATTAGGAGAAACAATGTCTCTTTTAAAATTTGAGAGAGGTGAACGAAATAAATTTTTATTTCTCAGAATTGAATAAATTATGCTACTGTTAATGTGTTTAAATATAAACTTCATTCTTTTAAAACAGTGTACACTTTATTGAATTTTTGGTTTTATATTTATAGTAATTATTTATTATAAATATTTTCTCAAACATTTTAAACTAATTGAAAGTTTTAATTACATTATATATGCGGTTTGAAATAGATTTTAATGATACGTAAGCTATTAAGTTATTAAACTGATATTTTATTTATTATGTATAAGATAATAGTATAATAAAATACTAGATATCATAATACACAATCAAAATATAATTTGAATTAATTAGTTTCAATTTAACGTTAATTCTTCTATTATGTACAAGATTAATATAGAGGATAAAATTATCATGAAGTTAATATAGACGATAAACTAATAAGTTACTCATTACAAATGCAACTATTTATAACATTTTAAATATCAATAACGAAATATAAAAGAAAGACCACTTTTTAAAAATAAGAAAATAACACTTAAATATTATGTTAAATAAAAAGGTAAAATTATTTCAATAATAAATATTATAAAAATAATAATATATTTACAAGTTCTGACATATAAAAAATTATCTTATAATCGTCTCAATATTAAAAATGCAATATACATATAGAGAAAAATTAAGTTGCAAAATGTTAGGGATAATAATTTAAGGTAGACAAGTTTGAAAATGAAAAATAGTGTGTGGAAATATCATGATTTACAAGATTTCAAATACACAGTGGACAGATTTGAAAAATAGTGAATATGATTCCAAAGAAAATGATTATAAAGCTAATACGATGAAGATAGGATAATGACACTAATATGTCACTAAATAATAGTGATTATAATAAAAATTGGGTTGAAGTAGTATTTTTCTTAATTATACAATTATTCTTGGAGGTACACATTAAAAAGAAACTCCCCACAAAATTAATAAGTCTCTTTGACTTTTTAATTTAAAATTTTACCTAAATCGTTAAGGATCCATACATTCTAACAATAACACAAGTATATGAAATTTTCAAAAATTGAACAAACTCTTATTACTTTAAATTTAAAATAATAAACTATTGAGGGGTAGAGGAATAATCTGATGAGCCCACTCACCCAGCAACGAAATGACCTAAACCTAACGATGTAGCGGGAATTAATTTAGTATTAATTTTTCGCTTTATCAACAAAAATTTGAAACGTTTATATAATAATTGATTTAGTCTAAGTAAATATATTTAATTTATAATAAAAGTTATGAGGTTATGATTGTTAGATAATCTAAATAAATAATCCAAAATAACACTATATAATGTTATCATTTATTGTCTATTTTAATTGTTTGAATTGTTAAACAATATTAAAAAAAAAAAAGAGAGAGTAGAAATAACTCACCAAACCTTTGAAGTTTTGAACACAGTCAAAGCAAATCAAGAACTGAGTTTTACTCTTTTACAATTATTTTGTAAGACTAATCAAATGATGTATATATCTTAGCGTCTCTATAGGTTGGTTCCTCACCAAACAATTTAACCTAACATATCGTATCGATCATTCCACGTGTATAAATGGATGTCAGCCACGTGGAGGGTTAAAAAAAGTGTACGTAAGTGCCTTATCCAATATTTTGAATCTTAAAAGATAAATTTTTATTAGGTCATAGTGGAAACTTTTACACTAACCATGCAAACTTTTTTTTTTCTTCTGTTATTACTGCAATTTCTTGATGAAATTCTAAGATGTCTCTGCAAGTTTTGATCCTTTAGTTAAGCTAAGAAGCTTTTTTTTTTTTTATCTAAAACTTATTTCAATACATTTCAAGACTGAGAGTACAAGTCCAACCCTAAATCTGTCATTTACAAAACACGCATGATTTTTTTTTATATATACATAAGAGGTTAAATTATTGAACTAGATATTTTCATTTTATCTTTTTTTTATTATTAAAACAAGATTAAAGTAATGAACATATTTAAAATATGTAATTTAATTAAATATATATTCAATAATCTCTTATAAAAATATCTAAAATTAAGTTTTAAAAAAGAACTTGCGATATAATTCTTGTTGATTTATTGTTGACCAAGTAATATATACACTTATTCCTTACTTTTTTTAAAATAGAAACTGTCACAATTATAACATATATTTCTAAATAAAATTTATACTGATTGTGAAACAGGATTCTTTTTGTTGATTAAAAAAAAGATTCAATAAAATCTTTAACTCGCATTTATTCTTCTAAATAAATCCTAGTTAAAGCATTAATTAAGCAGTCTATACTTTGTCCAAAATACAAAGTATATATTTCTCATAAAATTGTAGCTCAAAGAGAAAAAAGAAAAATCAAACGAGAAATAATGTTATGTTTTCTCTCATGATAAGTTTGTATTAAGTTTCTTAATAGTTTATAAAAGGAAAAACAACATAAGTGTCTTAGAAAAGGGAATACTTAAAAGTAAATATATAAACATGAAATGTGTGTTCCCATTTTGGTCTTATTATGGGTTAGAATGATAGGCATTGGAGGAAAGGTTGAAAGAGAGAAGGAGAAAGGATGACATATGAAGATT